ATTGGTACTGTTTTCCACTGGAATTATAAAATCAATTACATTTTAAGACTTCCACCAAAACACCTCGCAAAATTATTAAGATTTACGTTAGCTGGACCGATTTGAAAATACCTCAAAAAATTTAGTTTTTTTATTAATAAAAAGTTTTTTTGAAATCCCTCAGATTTCTAAACAGTTTAAGCTTAAAAAGTTTGCATAAAAAAATTTAGAAAAATTTTTCTACGGAATCATAATAATGAGATTTTTGATGCTATATTTGACCTTTTTTCAAAGATTGGTTTAAGAAAAACTTGAATAACTCAGCCAAAACCTTACCAATTTAGACTTATGAAGTATCGTTAGTAAGGTATTTTCTCTCCCTTTTAATTTCTTTGCGAATAAGCTCATCCAAAGTATGAAAGAGGAAGGTAAGATAAACGCGTGTCATTCCATGTTGAATTAAGATGTGTTGGTATTTGATAAAAAAAAATTTGGGACGTGAATGAGTTTTTTTTGCAAAGAAATAAAGAGGGTGCGAAAATACCTCTCCACTGATACCTCATAAGTCTATATCGGTAAAGCAGTTATTTTAGTTTTTCTTACACAAATCTGAAAAAAGTTAAAAAAACAGCATCAAAAATCTCATTATTATGATTCCGTAGAACATTTTTTTAAATATTTTTATGCAAACTTTTTAAGCTTAAACTGTTTAGTCATTTGGGGGGATTTTGTCCAGAAAATCCTTTAAGAAACTATTTTTATTCATAAAAAACTACATTTTTAGAGGTATTTTCGAACCGGTCCAGCTCACGAAAATCTTAATATTTTTCCGCAATATATTGATAGAACTCTTAAAATATGCTAGGTTTGGTAATCCCGCCGGAAAAACTGCAATTTTTTTTGTGGCGATGCAGTCTAATGTAATGTGTAATGTCCAAAAAATTATAACTGCACCAAATTTTCAAAAGTTTTAAAATATTATTTTTTTTTTGTTATTTAATTTTGGTTAGTTTTTTATAGTTCATTCTTTAACAACATCTGTCTAAACACAAGTTTAAAGGCAGTGTCACACGATTGGGTATTTGCCAACATTTGGTGCAAATCGTATCCTGTGAATACCCAAATGTTTTTCTTTATCCCAATCACGAAAATTAATTGGTTGAAATTTTTCAATAGAACATCGCTGTATTGTACCAATCCTTTGACTACAAAAAAAATTTCCCATTTTTTTATTTTGTACCAATATCCCAATATAAAAATTTAGTAATCTGTACAAATGTACCAATCGAGTGACACTGCCATAAAAATTTATGCAATTTAAAAAAAATTCAACAGATTTTCGTAAAAATTTCGAATTTTTTAATAAGATTCTGAGTACGCATTTTAGTAGAATAAAGTACAAGTTTCAAATGGCTAAAAACTGCGATTGATTTTTAGGAATTTTTAAAAAACCTCGAAATTTGTACGACAGTTTGTTGAATTTTTTTTTAATATTGCACAAATTTGGAAACTTGGATTTACACGGGTTTTGTTAAAGAATTAACTATATTATAAAAAAAATAAGCAAAATTAAATAACACCGAAAATAATACGTTAAAACTTGGCAAAAAGCGGGTTTTACTGTAGTTAAATTTTAATCAAATTTTCAAGTACCATTATCTCCGGAGCCAATCTGATAAAACGGGGGATGCCATTGAATTTAGAACGTCCCAATTAAGCGGGTTCAAGATTCAAAATCTTTACTCAAAATTTACAACTTGCACAGCGTAATTTGAACCCAGCTTATTCTTTTGTTTTCTATTTTAGCGATCCAAATGTTTATTCCTCGTCTAACTTTTGAAGCACTTGATGAAAATGAATTACACTTATATTTATCGATTTACTAGGAGATTACGAATATAATCATGTATAAAACATAGGTGTGCCCACAAATTAAAAAATTAAACCTTTTGTTTTGAAAGTGTAGCTGTTTTTTAGATTTGCCCATATTATATTCATATTAACCCTTCCAAATTGTTTCCAATCCAGAGATTCAGGTACCTTTAAGCTCTCTGCAGTGGATGATATACAGATTCTATTGGACGACCAGATCATCAAAACACAAACTATGAAGAGTTCGCCATACATCAAACCATTTGAGGAGGATATACTGTAAGTGTAACTTTATCAAGGAAAAGTTAAATACGGAATTTACACCAACCAGATAAAATTTCACTCTTAGGAAATGGGAGGCAAAACTAATGCTCCTGCAGGATATTTTGGACGAGTGGCTGCGCGTACAGGCAACATGGATGTATTTAGAGCCAATTTTTTCAAGTCCCGACATTCAACAGCAAATGCCAGAAGAGGGGCGAAGATTTGCGGCTGTGGATAAGGTGCACTGAAAAAGGATTGGGGCAACGAATTTTGAAAAACTTTTCATGCAATACTCCTTTTTCAGATATGGAAAGAACTCATGAAGCAAGCAAGTGCAGATCCACGCGTTATGGTTGTTGTAGAGATTGACAAAATGAACGAAAAGCTGAAGAAAGCGTATGCATTGTTGGAAATTATTCAGAAGGGGCTAAACGCTGTATGCTTAAAATCGTACATATGTACATATATATCTATTATTTTATATGTTTCCTTTGAGTTTAGTACTTGGAGAAGAAACGCCTGTACTTCCCACGTTTCTTCTTCCTCTCCAACGATGAACTACTTGAGATACTCTCCGAAACTAAAGATCCTACTCGTGTGCAACCCCATTTGAAGAAATGCTTCGAAGGCATAGCCACACTGAACTTCACCGAAGAGCTGGAGGTCACTGCAATGCGTTCGTCGGAGCGCGAAGAAGTAATACTAGTCGATGTAATTTCTACGGCAAAAGCGCGTGGCCAGGTGGAGAAGTGGCTGTTGGAATTGGAGATTAATATGAAGAAAAGCATACATTTAAAAATAAGTGAGTCATTTTCTAGTTATCGGAAGATGATTCGAGAAACATGGGTGCTCTCGTGGCCCGGCCAGTGTGTGCAATCAATATCCCTTACGTATTGGACGCTGGAGATTACCGAATGCTTTTTCTCCGATGCGCCTGTGCAGAACTTGAAAAAGTATTTGGCACTATGTAAATTACAGGTGCGCTTTTACAGAAAATGTTATAGAGTAGGCATTCTTTATACGTAAATGCTTACAGATAGCTCAAATCGTTGATCTAGTGCGCGGTCATCTAAATGCTCAAAATCGCATTACGCTAGGGGCTTTGGTAGTGCTGGATGTGCACGCGCGTGATGTACTGGCAGAAATGGTGGAGAACGAAGTGTCTGATGCAAATGATTTCCAGTGGTTATCGCAAGTATGCTAATTAATTATTTTCCGTTTAAAGACAATTAGCCTTGTTTATAAAAGATAAAGTAGCTTTGAAAAGGTTTATAAATTTATAAAGCTCTTTAAAATAATTAAAAGTTTGCTCCCTAGGCTGCGTTTCACCAGACTCATCTAAGTGATAATTACTTTAATTTTCGAATTTTTGGTTTCACCAATCAATTTTAATTTGTTTTTAATTTTGATTTAAGTGACCTTTGCTCTTCACTTAAATAAAAATTAAATCAGAATAACCACACTCAGAGATGTTACACGTTTAATCAGCTGATCAATATACACACACCACAATTTTGTGTATATGCTGCTTACTTGTATACCAGCCCTGCTTTTCCAACACAGCTTGCCAATGCTTTCAAAAGCTCTCAGTACAAATGAAAGCTTTCGCTGGCCAAGTCTGTTTTACAGCCATTTTTTACTCACTTAAATAAAGAGATTATTAGAAAATAATTTAAATGAGAATTAAATAAAAAATTAAATTAAAGTTAATTTCCACTTAAATGAGTTTGGAGAAACGCCGCCTAAAAGTTTCCACACTACCTTACAGAAGGTGGCACACACACACGCACCCACACACAGGGCCTGGCCTTTTGTCAAGAGGGAGCGATAAAACTGTTTTCTGAGCAAACCTTTTATTATTGAATCATGCTTTAAACCGACTTTATTTTTTATGAATAAGGCCAAATGTATGTAACTGTACAATATTTCTTTCCTACAGCTGCGTTACTACTGGGAAGATAACAACTTGGATACGCGCATGATTAACAGCTCTCTCAAATATGGTTATGAATATTTGGGCAACACCACACGTTTGGTGGTCACACCTCTCACTGATCGCTGTTATCGTACACTCTTTAGTGCGTTGAATTTGCATTTGGGTGGCGCACCTGAAGGTCCTGCTGGTACCGGCAAGACAGAGACCACCAAAGATTTGGCCAAAGCTGTCGCTAAGCAATGTGTAGTCTTCAATTGTTCTGACGGTTTGGATTATATTGCCTTGGGTAAGTTCTTCAAAGGCTTGGCTTCATGTGGCGCATGGTCATGCTTCGATGAATTCAATCGCATTGACTTGGAAGTGCTCTCAGTGGTAGCTCAACAAATTTTGACTATACAACGTGGTATAAACTCTGGCAGTCCTACGTTGGTGTTTGAGGGCACTACGCTGACGTTGGATCCCACATGTGCAGTATTTATTACAATGAATCCCGGTTATGCGGGTCGTTCTGAGTTGCCGGATAATTTGAAGGTATTTGGCTTTAGTTGGTTTAAGTAGTTACATTTAACGGCATCTTGTAAGGGGAGTGGGACTCAAAACTGGCCCACGACAGACTAAATTCCTTATTTAAAAAAAAAAAAACACAATCGCGATTACGACACGAAGAACACCAGTGATTGGTATCACTTTAAGCTCAATAGTGAATAATGAAAATATGCGTATTAACCCGCATCCATCGGAAATTTTTTGTAACACAAAGTACGTTGTGCATCAATTTGATACATATGGAAAAAGACCCTAGTATTCGATGAAATGTTGGTTTTTTTCATTTTTATTAATGACCAACGTTTGTTTATTCATTTTCTGATAATAAGAATAAAAATGCTTGAACATTAACTATTTTCTTAATATTTTAATATGTTTTCGAAATTTGCATCAATTCGATATAAACGATGGATGCGGGTTAAGCTGTATTACCCTAGCTTAAGGAATATTGAGCTAAAGAAATATTTAAACAAGTAAAGAAGTATAAGTTCGGGCGGAACCGAACTTTATACACCCCGCGCACAGTGTAAAATTTGACCCATCTAGGCGCCTTTAATTCTGCAATTCGAAAACTATTGAAGATAGATTAATGAAATTTGGCACAAGGTGCGTTATAAGATAGGCGAAGCTTTTTACAAAAAATTGGTAATTTATAGTTACTGTCACGCCACCCTATTATATAACTGCAATTTTTAAAAATGCAAAAACAGAAATATTTAACTAACTGCAACGGCTAAAATGCCCAAAATTTATATTTAGAATTTCCCTATAACAAAGAATTATAAACTGACAGAAATGGACTTAAAAATAATTATATATATATTTTTTAATTATGGGCGTGGAAAATATCGATAAAAAAGTCAAGTTGGGTCAACAAAATTCCGTTATAAGTTCAATATTTCTTGCTCTATTTACAAAAATGGGATACCATTGGAAATGTAATGAATCAGGCTTTCTCTATTCAAAACAAAAATACAAGAATTTGTCTCGGTCGAGATAAAATGCAAATGAATTACTCGAAGAATATTAAATTCTCAGTAGGCCAGAAAAAGAAAATTTCATCAAAACCTGCACTTTCCAGCAGCTAAAATTGTATTGTTTAAAGTCTAAGAGGAGTGGCAAATAATCTGAGATACACACTTTATCTAATAGTGGTTTATAACGAGTTTTCGGGTCTAATAAAAATAATAATTTGCTAAAAATAAGTCTAAGTCAACATCGTTTTACTTTAACATGAAATACTCAGTCCTAGTTTACAAATTCCCAAAAATGTATATTCATTAAAAAGATCATACCTAAAAAAATAAGACCAAAATGATATTTTAGCAATTGTTGCATAAATCACATAACACCGACAAATTAAATATTGAGATTCAGTTTCAAATATACAAGTTTAAATATTATTGCGCTCAGTAGTTTTCCAAATATCAAACCCCGTCCCGCCATACACTTTGATTTAAATTTTTTAGTTGTTATTGTTTCGTCTTTATCAGGCATTTCTAAAAACATTCTTGACGTTGTTTTGAAATTTGGCGACATAAAATAATGTAATTAATCTTTTCTAGAATATGGAAATGATACACTGTGCGGCGCAGATATCAAATATGGTCGTTTAAAATTTTTCAAAAGTACCTTTGCATGACAAGTAGGGGGAATTTTTCCCGATTTCAAACCTTTTCGATAATATGCTGAGTTAGACTTAATGATATAATTAAACCAAGTTTGGTAGAAATCGATAAAGTGGTCACCGAAAAACACCTTTGTAGTCATAAAGTGGACGGTGCCACGTCCAATTCTTAAAAGTCTAATGCAGTCTTATTTATTGTTAAGAGAGAGTTTCCGTATTTCTGAAATTTACCGTTCTATAAACGGGAAGCGAGTGTAACTTTGGTCCCATTTGAATAATTTTTAACGAATTGATTTTCCGTACCGAGGTTAGTAAGTGCACCGAGTTTGGTAGAAATTGATGTATGAGAAATTCTCAGAAACTTCGACTTTTTTTTGTGAAAATCGTGAGCACGTATCTGCAATTTTTAGTATATGTTCCTTCAGCTGCTAGAATACAAAATCCACTGAGTTTGGTACGAATTGATAAATCGGTTACTGAGATACGCATACAATGAGCCAAATAAAAACTGGGATGCGACATTTTAGTAATTTTGGTTATTTTTCTTTAGTTTATTTAATGTTTATTATTGTTTTAGGAAAGTAACAAACACGATATACATAAATCCTAATTTCAGACTTTGTGCGAAAATTATGAAAATTCTGCAAAGTTTGATCATATATTCTAACTTCTTGATCAGCATTTTTAGGCAAAATTTTGGTATTCAGTTTTGTAGCTCATCAAATTTTAATATCACAAAGTTCGAATTTTAAGTATCTGGGACTTATGGGTGATTTTGTCAAAAAAAAAACTGTCGAACATAAATTTCCAACAAGTAATTTTTAGCGAAAAAAACCGACTTCAACTCTCATATAAAAAAAAAATATATATATATATATCTCATGATCCACTGACCGGATCTTAACCAGATTAATATGCAAAAGAATTATCGAAATCGGTTGACGTGGTCCAAAGTAATGCGGACTGATAACCTCCTCCTTTTGTGGAAGTCGGTTAAAAATCAGCGGTAAGTCCAAGCATCTACAGCGCAAGCTTCCCTGCAGGGAATGCTACTAGTTGAGAACTAGAATTCTACCAGTTTGCTTTTCAGCTCAACTAGTTCATTTTCTATCCTTTTTCAATGTTAGCGACTGGTATTTTTAACATTGCGATGTCCTACGAGATGTCAATTGTCAGGCTATGCATCAGCATCCACTAGTAGAAATACTTGTAGCATCATACCAGTTGATGAGATAGTCTGCCAATTCATCCCCTATGAAAAGCATTAGTATGCCTTTTTGCTCGCGGAGCTCCAACAGTCGCAATGGCCGACAGAGCAAAGCACTCCCGTGGTATGCCTGAGCAGAGTGTCCAGATTGTTAAAAAAAAAAATCGAAAAATCGCCTTTTTTTTAAACTCATGAAATTGATTTAACAAATCTTTTATTTTAAAAATAATATCTTGTTATAATATAATTTATAAAACCAAAAACGAACATAATACCTTCAGAGGGTAATAATAAATAACACAAATCACTTATATAATAGTGATGTACAAACAATTTTCATTAAAAATACGCATACTTTTTAAAAATATTTGTTTCAACACATTTTGCAATAGGACTGCGCAATTATTAAATTTATTATAACTCGTACTAATTGATTAATCGCACAATCCGCTTTTAAGAGCTCGGCGCTAAAAATAAAATAAAAACCTATAATAAGGCGAGATCAGCTATTTCCACAATTTCTTCAAAATCACCTATAGTGTCTGAATGATTTACACTTCTGTTGTGGTCATATATTGAGCTATTCGTCCGTGATAAGATACTGTTTGATATTGGAAACATTTTTCAGCAGAAACTGTTAGCCTTCATACAACACTTTATTCGAATTATTGAATAAGGGATTTCCAACCTCATCCTATTCCGAATCTTAGTTTTTGTTGAATTCATTACTGAAAAAGCGGCTCAGCAAAAGCATATGAATGCGGCAAGGATAATAATATGAAGGCTACTTTACTTATATTTCCAAACATTTTATTGCCTGTTGCGGTTTTCACTCCGTAAGCAATTATCCAAAATTCTTCAGAGTCGGATGGAATGGTTCTGAAAAAAGTTATGGCAGGGCCCTGAAACTCGCCCTCTTGTGATTCACACACTTTTCTGGTGACAAAATCAAAGCTTTTTAAAAGTGTTTAATTGACTAGGGAATCGTTTCAAAATTTCTTCGATAAGGGTGATCAAAAATGTTTGACAGTCTTTTAATATGCTTCTTAAGTCAAGTTTATCACGCAGTTCATTAGCCTCTTCTGTAAAGTTATAGTGGAAAACAAAGTTTTGTATATTTTTATAATTGGAAAAAATTTATTTGAAGGGAAAAAATCGCCAATGGCGATTTCCTAAATTTTTACGCGCAAATATCCAAAAAGAATCGCCTAATTGGCGCGAAATCGCCAAATCTGGACACTCTGTGCCTGAGGTACCAGGTTCAAGCCCGGGCGCAGGGAACATTTTTTTATTTTATTTTATTTTTTTTATAATATTTCTTTATATTTTTTATTTAGGTTTTTTTGTTATTCTTAAATTTAATTAAAAAAAATTATTATTTGTAATCTATTTTTTTATGGCATAAGTATTTCTTCCCATAAAGATTTTTAAGTTTGTTATTTATATTTAAATTGAAATAATTATTCCTACTTACATTGATCTAACTTTAAAAATCTCAACCACCTCCAAGCGGCCTCGAACCTGCGATCCCATAACCAGAATCGGTAGTCTTCACGTGACGCCACAGCCGACCTTTGTAAGAAAAGCAATTAATTGCGTTTTATTTTAGGCTTTGGCAATTCAAAAGCAGATGTCGCTGAACGCTTAAGTTCTTCGAAAATGTCGAACTGGTAGGCACATACTAGTTTATGAACTAGCATTTTTTCTAACTGGTTTGGGTTTTCAGTGCAGGGTTTTTCATTTGACACCTCATTTTCGAAAATCTAACGAACGTTGCAGATCTGATAACCTGGACAACTTATATATTGTTTTTTTTTGTTTTACTTATTTACGTTTTGCTCTGTAACTTTTAAATGAACACATAAAAAAGTAGTGCACGAGGATCATAGTTCAATAGTATGGCAACCCATCTAAATGTGTAAAAGCCTCATATGCATGTAAACCTCGTAAAATTGTTTAATTTTGTACAGAAAACCGGTTTATTACGAGGCTTACACACTTACGAGACATTTACGCGTTTATATGAATACCCGGAGTATATTATACAATAGAAACCACTCGTATTTGGCTAAATTTTCCAATTGCAGATAATGTGCTAATAAAAAATATACATTTTAACTTTGGTGCACGCATCGTAACTGTTTAAATAAG